TTGATATGATGGATAATGGTCATATTTTTTATTTTAATGAGATAAAAAGGTGGCCCAAACGGGAGCTACGTAAGACTTGGACAAAAAATAAATAAAGCTATGATATGATTTTTCAAGCCAAACAAAGATTGTGTTATAACAAAGAAGTCTTTCGACAATAAAAGTAGTGTCAAGGATAATTAATAAATTTTACCGTGCAGATCTTAATTATGTCTAGCTTAAGATATTAAATATATCATAATACGATTTTAAAATCCTTGATTGGACAATAACTAAGCTCCTTTCATTGATCTATGAAAATGCCGACCTCCAACCCCAAAACCCTCTTATAACGGTCACATATTCAAATATCCATGTTTGAAGTATCTCACCAACCTTATAAAGAGATGGACCCATGCTCTTCAAATGGTCACATTTGCTAAGAATAAGGTTAAAAATTGAATACTCGTATTAACTCTTTGGTCTCCCTACGTGACTTTAATGCTCATTTATCAGTTGAATCCAAAGATGGATATCATTAATTCAACATGCCACCTTTAATTGCCCACTGGGAAAGTGCATTAAATTCCATAGTCAAAATTCTCAACAATTTGTCATGCTCAAAAGTAAATGACAATAAAACTAGTTTAAAGAATTTGATCGGACAACGGTGGCAGCCTTCGGAAAAAGTTCATGGGGATGGAGGGCATGTCACCGCGGAATCTTGGGTGGCGGAGGTAGTATAACCCTAACCCTAAAACAAATACTTTGAAGGGTATGACATAGAACAATAAGGAAGCAAATAGGCAAAACACAACGAATATGCTTGTAGCTCTAGGATCTCTCCAATTGAAAAGTGCCTCCAACCGTTCACCTTGTGCTGCAACATCACCCAAGAGTGTTTGGGCACGTCCTGCTAGAGCACGTAATCGATCATAGCGGATGCGCACTTGGTCAATTGCTCGTGTAGTTGGAAATCCATCGAATTCTTCATCAAGCTCGTCCGGACTCACAACTTCAACATGGGACATCCTGGGATCCACTGTGATCCGAACACGTTGACGATACCGAAATCTCAATGCTATGATGAGGAACGCATACATGAAAATTGTCGATAACACTAGGTGCGGGCACAATACAATGGCTACCAACAAGATATGGACCAAGATTGTAGTTGGAGGGTGCACCCATGTTTGAATTCCATTGAGCCAACGGGAAATTGTAGTTGCTTTTGACAAGCAACCCACAACCCTAAACCAATTGGCCTTGCTTCGTCTCATCCTCCACATGTGCGTATCCGAGTCCAACATGAATTGGACTACTTCTTGGCCTAAAGGAGGTTTGGACCGAGCTAACCTTGCCGTCACAATCCTCATAGCAGTGTGCCTAAGGATGTCTTGTTGGGCTGCACCAAAGGGTCTCACGTAATGCATCCAAGGCAACATTGGATTGGCATATGCTTGAAGAAGACTAATCTACGATGAGGACCAAGACCTCAAAGCAATCTCAATTTTTCCCATTTTCTTTGCCCTACTAGGAAGCAACACCATAAGAGAATAAGTACCAACATACACTCGATTAGTGTCAAGAGTCGAGAGGCGTACACGTAACTTTCCAAGCCTTACATCCTTCTTCAACCCTGCCTCGTCATGCTTGTACCTTTCGTTATCAAACACGCCTATAGTCAATACAGTGCATGGATCATACACATCCCAAGTATATTGTTCATTCCATCGTGGATTAAACCGATCAAGAATAGTACGAGTGCGAACCCATTTCGGCCCATATTTAGCCACGACGTATGCATCAGTTGTCCTACGAGTACCATCTTTGGTCTTCACAGGAAGCAGATTAGTAGCTCATCAGCCTGTGTTCCGACCCATACAAACAGCATTAGGTCATTTCCAGGCGAACCCGGGTTTTGCTCCGCCTCTAAACTGTATCACTGCGGTGCCAATGGGCTGTCTGGCGGCACTCTTTTAGGCACTTCTTGCAGATCAAAAGACACAGTTCCAATACAACTCTCTGAAACTCCATTGTTGTTTTCATTTACAGGTATCTTTTTCTCAATCCAAACAGACACTTCAAGGGAGGTTGAATTCAATCCTTCTTTATCAAATGCAAAAACTTGGTCCCAATCTTTATTAGCAGCTTGTGATTTGGTTTTGACGTTGTGAGTACCGATCACGAGCTTGGCATGAATTGAAGAATCTGCCTCTGGATTTGAGATTTTCACTTTAGCTACACGAACATATAGAAACGGCATTTGATCCACCAAATCAAAAGCCATTCGCCCATCGGAATTGGAGATTTTACGAAACAATTTTGATTCAATGTCAATATTCTTCAAATTTTCGGCAACAATTGACTTTTCTGGCTTCTGGGTGTTTTTCTGTTGAGCCAATGGTCGATTTTGTACTTCCGCACCAGTAAAATTTATTGAATAATCAGATTTTTTGAATAAAATATTATTAAAAAAAATTTCTCAAAATTTAAAAGTAAACGCGTTTTCCATTTTTATGTTTTCAGAAACAGTTTTTCAAAATGGCAAAAAGAACGCATTTTCAGAAATTTCAAAACAGACACTCAAAACACAAAACACAAAATGAATTCAAAACTCNAAAATATTATTAAAAAAATTTCTCAAAATTTCAAAGTAAACGCGTTTTCCATTTTTATGTTTTCAGAAGCAGTTTTTCAAAATGGCAAAAAGAACGCATTTTCAGAAATTTCAAAACAGACACTCAAAACACAAAATGAATTCAAAACTCAAAACACAAAACTGAAACACAAAGAGAACGGCACCTTAATCTCTAAGCAACCAAAAATATCACATCTATATAACCACTTGGCTGTGACGGTTTTTGGAAGGAAAAAAAAAGAATAGGATAGAGTTAGTTTTTATTTTTTTAGTTTTAGTTTTAGTTT